TTGGCTGGTTTTTTACGCGTTTGAGTCATTATCTCATCCCACCGTGACCAAACAAAAAGAAAACTTGAAGGAAGAAAAAAAGAAATCGTTTTTTTTGCAGTTATTTATGAATATTGTCGGAACACTTTGTGCAACTTGCACCACAACTAGCTAATCTTATTGAGTTTTCCAAACCAAAATTTCGGAACATTGAATGAAAAAAAAGAAGGAAAACCAAAGAACCAAAAAAAGGTTTGTTTTTCATCATGTAGCTGTTTTACGTTGTTCTCAGCACAATCAGCGCTAACTACTGGTTAGCACAATGAGCCTGTTTGTTTGAAAAAAAATAAACTTAAATCAGCTAAACGTCTAGCAAGAGTTGATTCAAGTGTAACAAAAATCAAAGACATCGCTTGGCTGTGAAACTTATTGGCAAACAATTCTGTGGGGAAGTTTAATAAAGCGGAATACCTGCGGAATTTCTTTTTAATCACTTGTTTGTTCAGTTGTACTCACATGTTTGTTATATCAAGGGGCTTGTTTTTGATCAAACTTTTGTCAGGGTCTACATGAATGCTCATGAAATTTCATATTTTTGCTCATTTGATTGACTTCACATGTATGTTTATGTCTGACTCTCATTGCATAGGTACAATCAATGAGAAATTATTTTAGAATTTGTTATGAGAATGAACATGAGTACGCATTTGAAATTACATGTGCATTCAGGTAACTCTTGTTGAAAGCTCAAAATCGGGCTTTTAAGTACTCTTTAGTTCATTTGAGCACATGTGTGAAGAAGGATAGCCGGTTGCTGTGCAAGTAGCACAGAATGTTCAGACTGTTCTTAAAAAAATTTAAGAAATAATTTTTGTAGATTTCCTTTTTTTGAGCGTGGTGTGATGAAAGGATCTGAAAGAGAGAGACTAGATTTTTTTTTTTGAGATGGCGTTAAGAAATTTTGAAAAGCTTGTTATTAGATGTTTTATGGCTTGAAAAAAACTTATGGTTTATTTTAGTAATCTGCGACGACTTACCGACTTACCTTCTACAATAAATGTGCTCGCTCGCTTTACTCGCTCGAAAACAGGCAACAGTTTGGAAAAAAACTTCAGCCAGTTTTTCTCAAAACTGTGAAATTTCATCAGAATGTATCTCTCATTCCAGTCCAATCACTATTTGTTGTATCTGATTTTACGTGAAAAAAAAAGTAAACACATCCAAATACAAAGTTCCTTTTTAATTTTAAAGGTTGGAACAGTTAGAAATAAATTTTAAATGGAATTCCGAATGAAGACGTCAAAAAATAATCTTCTACATTATTGAACAAGTGAATCTAATGTGACAGGCAATTTTTCAGGATGTCTTAATCAGTTTTGTCGAACAATTTTTTTGTTTTCGTAGTATCACATAATTTTTTCGAGCGTATTTCTGATACACTAGTGGACAAGATAAACGCAGGCTTAACACTCAAAACGGCATGTTTTTAGGAATGATTTTGGAAAATATTCTCTAAGACTTTTAAAATTTTTCTTATATCGACCGACTGCATACGATCTAAGCCCTCTTCTTTCTTAAATTTAGATTTTAAGAACTTACCAAGTTTTTCGGTTTTTAAATTTCTAGTTTTCACTATTTGCGGCAAATTTTATCTGTTATTGAACATTTTTTTGAATAAGCGGAATATAGAAAATTAATCATGTGATGTGAAACATTTTCAACGAGAAAATTGAATTGTCCAGTATTACAAATTTTCTCAGCTCTTTTGTTTTTTCTAAAAGAAACACCATTAGAAAAACGTTTTACTATTTGTAAAAACTGGTATGTTCATTCTCGGAAAAAATTGGTAAATACTTCGAGAAAAGTCAGATTTTCAGTTCAGAGAGATTAGCTTAGATCATTTGATTTGTTAATTCTAAGTTGATATTGTCTAAAATAGGCACTTTAGACATTAGAAAATTAAGCACTTTTGAGAGTGGAAACGTGAATTGGCATTATTTTTCTCTATTATTTTAATTTACTTTATATATCAGATAAAAAAAGCGAACAATTCAATTGCTATTTTTGGACACTGTTGCAAAAATGCTGTTTAGGATTCAAAAATACATAGGTGTTTGACATGTCATATTTTAATATTTTATTGGTAGATCAATAAAACAGCATGAAATAATGAGTTACCTAGATTGTTATTCAAGCTTTTTGATTATGATTCTGCCCTCAATTATAACTGCTAAAATTCAAATATTTATCCACCGCGAATCACTGCAATCTGTACAAACTCCAGAAAAACACAAAAAAGACATGATCGTTTAATCTTGAAATACGATTTTCAGTTGATGCTTATAAACATGTGAGCTTATGCATTTTCATATTTCATCTCATATTCATAGTCCATATCTTCTGAAAAGGAGCTGATTGGCTGCAAGCACAAGAGTCAAAATGAATTTGATTGTGAGATATTTAACTCTAGACCGGCTATAATTTACCAGAAGTTTTAGTTGAGATCAAATTAATCGGATGAATTATTCTTCTTACATAATCCCATGATCCCAAAAAACTGAATGAAGTTTTGTTATGATTAAAAGCAGCGATAAAGAAGGCGGGGAACTGGGCTATCTCATAATCTAAAGGTGAAACTGATAGAGCTACCATGAAAACTTATCCGCTGACTGGAACGTTTTTATCAGAACGTTAAAAACGTAGCGATTTTGATTTGCATCTGCACCCTATAAAAATTCTTCTTAGAATCTTGTAGGCCAATACATTATCTTGTGAGAATCTTATAAGAATCGTGTACGAAAATAATTTAAGATTCTTATTAAAAAGGAATTGAGATATAAAATTCTTAATAGAAAAAGAATTAACATGTTTGATTCATACAAAAAATTGAAGTATGATGTAAGAACCTGATAAGAAAACTAAATCGGATATAAGAAACCCAAAGTGAGGCTCACTTCTCGATATTTGAACAATAACCAATAATTCGAACCTATTCGTCAAACTACTGCCTCCATACACTCGTAAACTGACGGAGTTACACTTCTTACAAATTAAAATATCAAATAAAAAGTAAATTGAAACAAAACATTTTAAAAAATTAAAATGTTTTTTTTTGCAAAGTTCATTGACTCATTCTAAATACACGTAGGAGCGTTTGACCACATCAAAATGAAGTACAAAAATTTGTTTTTTTAAAGACACTTTAGACATTAGAAAATTAAGCACTTTTGAGAATGGAAACGTGAATTTGCATTATTTTTCTCTATTATTTTAATTTACTTTATATATCAGATAATAAAAAGCGAACAATTCGATCGCTATTTTTGGACACTGTTGCAAAAATGCTGTTTCGGATTCAAAAATACATAGGTGTTTGACATGTCATATTTTAATATTTTATTGGTAAATATTTGCAGTTGATCCTTATTGGCATTTGGTTCAATTCGATTATTGTCAAAAATTAAACTACTGCCACATTAAAAGATTTAAAACAGAGGAGAAACGGAGCTTCGGAACACTTGCCATGCAAAAAAAAATTCTGAAAAATGAAATTGAATAAATTAATGGAAAAATAACTTGAACTAGACAAAATTACCCGAGAAATTCATCAAAATTTGCGAACACAAATGATCAGAGCTACATTCTATGATTTTTTTCAAGTCTGGTTACAGTGATTTGCTAGTGTTTGACGGATCTGAAAATGCTAGTTTTGATCTTTTTTTATTCACTGGTTGTTCTCGTTTTTTGACTTTTACCTTTCGAAATTTATGAATCCTTCTTCTGAATTGTTACTGGAACTTTCGAAAAGATAACGTTATTACAATTACAAAAACTGAGATATTAAGCCCTTCATTGAAAAAAAAAGTTCCTTAGAAGTTTACTGAAAAAAATGAATGTCTACCTCTAAATTCAGTTCGAGCAGACTAAGTTCGGTACAAATCCTTTGTAATTAAAAAACTTCCTTTTAACTCAGAACAAAACCTTTTGTTTTCATGTGATTTCAACAAAAACTTTCAATTGAAGGAAAATGTGTATGAGCTTTACACAGAGGCGGAGCTTTGCTTCTCAAACAGGACAACACGCAGCTCTATAAAAAGCAATAGCAAAAATTAGAAAATCTCGAAATAGTAAAAATTCGGCAAAGTCTCGGATTTGACCTGCGACCTAGAGAATGAGTCTCATGCACTAACAACTCGGCCACGGACGCTTAATAAATCAGAAAACAGGCCGCAAATAAAGCAGAGAACAGATGCTATGAAAATTCCAATGCTACAGAACGTGATTATAGCAAAAAGGCACAAATAAGTGAACACTTTAAACGAACATTTGTTAGCGAGTTAGGTTTAAAATAGGATGGTTTGTACTAATGCACTACTATGCCTGAAAGTGTAATTAGTAGAGCATGTTCTAAATTAGTTTGGCTGAAATCATGCAGCATAAAAAGCTCACTTTATTTTAAATAGGCTATTAATTGATCCGGTACATTTGGTGTAAAAATTCAGCCAAATTTTCCATTTTAGGATAAAAGTTTGTGTCCTAATTTTGCAGAATAAGATACACTATAATAATTTTGACAGAACTCACAATAATTCGTGTCTTCAATTTTTTATTATGTCAACCGAAATTGAAAAAAGTGAGTAATATATATTTTTTCCGGATAACCAGCACTCTATTTGAAAAAAGTAAAGTTTTGCCGGCTTAAAATTTTAGGCCCTCACAATTAGTTTTTTTTCGCTCTGCTTCCGCGTGTAGTTTGCTTGCTTTCCTTTTACAGATTTTTCTCAGAACTATGTTTAACAAAACGATTTTTTCGCTTAGAAAAAGTTCTGGCCCTTGACTGTGCCTAACTTCATTTCAATTTCACAGAAATGCCATGATGATTGTTTTGACTTCTGAAGCAAATTACGGAATATATGATTGGGGTTGGTTCTGTATTCAGTCATTTTCGATTTTTTAACTAGGCGATTTGGCCGAAGAATTTTTCTACTGACCTCATTGTGCTCTCCTAGGTCTATCGAAAATTATCTTAGAAATTTTCTATTGTATACTGCAATTTAAATCGACAATTGACATTTCGTTATAAAACATTGAGAAATTGGATTGATTAATAATAGACAATGGACATTTACATTCAAAATAGCGTAAATTATTTACTTTAACAAAAATAATGATGATCACAAAGGTAGAGCAAATTGGTTCATAATTCTAGGGAATGACCATTGCGTTCATCGCGAGTTCGGATCATCACACAGATATCCACCGTCTAATTGGCCATACAGTTTTTGTAATTCGAGTCCTGTTTCCGATGATTTAAGCCCTACTTGCACCAAGTTTAGCTAAATGATTCTAAGTTCGCCTTTGCATGTGACTATGAAGTTTAAACAGCACTAAAGGTTATCTTTGCAAATAACAACATCGGGCTCTTTCTCATTACAGTTCCAACCACCGTCTAGAGACAGAAAATTATAGCCCTTCTCCAGTGTTGAATTTCCGTATTATCGGGGTTTTGCTGCGGAGTTTTAAATCGAAAGAGCCCGAAATCGTTCTGTTGTTGATACAAATTGAGGTAAATTCGAAAGTGACTGGGAAATTTTTCCTGCAACATTCATGGTTATCATCAAGAATAGAAGAATGGTGTTGCGGCAACAGATTTTCTTGATCCAAAATCCAGTGAAATAATTTTTGCCAGGAAAAACTTGACTACAGCTTTTTTTCTTTATTTTACAAATTTTATGGAAAAAAAGCACAAATCATCCAAAATAAAACACTGCGCATGTGACGTTGCAAAGCTTTTATACAAACGATAATAGTGTTTGACAAAATATAATTATAACAAATCAGGTTCTCTTGGACGAATATATAAAGGCACGATAGAGTATTAAAATAGCACAAAATAACCGAATGGCAGAACACGACAGAAATATTTGATCATATGTTCCATTAAACGACGAATATTGTGAACAGGCCATAAATACGGCCATCGTTCATAACTAAAAGAAGATTTAATAGAGGAATATTCTGTGAAAGCATCGATTTAAAATAGTGAGATAGTTAAAAATGCTAATTGTGCACAAAATGTGTACAGCACCATTCAAATTGTCACCACATCATTGAGATACACCTTCATATTATAAAAATAAAAGCCACCTTGCCCTTTAGACATTTTCGACATCAGCTCAAATCATTTGCAACTTTTAATCCATGCTTATAATCACATGAAAGGCAGGCAGCTTTAACGCGGGAAAATGTGTAGTTCAACGACAATACACAGCCACTGAACATCAGAAACAAAATGATAACTCAGAACTGTATTCAAAACATCGCGACAGAGTTCTTTCATCCAATTCCTTTCACTTCAAATTTTGCATGTTTTATTTTCATGCAAACACATCGTCTTCTCCGCACTCCGAATTGACCTCTTCTTGAGGCATGAATCTCTGCTGAGGCTGTCGCCTCGGCACTACTTGTTGTGCATTAATCTGCTGCTGCATTGAACCGTTCTGACCTCTGAATCCCGGGTGAGCAAAGTTGGCTCCTTGAACTTCGTTGCTCACACCTGTGTTGTAATGTGCAGCAACAGCTGTGTTATTCGGGAGAACGTTCAGAGGGTAATTGTAGTTCAGTTGGAAATTGTTCACTTGAGCATTCTGACTTTGGTGCAGTGAATGTGGATTCTGCATTGAGTTGTACTTCCTGTCGCCTTCATTTGCAGTCATTAAGTGGCTGTTTGGAATTCCTGAAGTGATGCTTTGGTTCTGTTGTTGTGCAGTGAAAGGTTGAATCTAAACAAAAAAAAGCTCAAGAAGACATTGTGACTTTCGCAACACAACAAAACTAAATATCCTAGGTGCATAAAAGCAAATTCACAAAACCAAGATCTATTTGACATGAAGTTCGCCAAGATTTTATGACCTTTTCATGCAGTTAGACATGAGGTTGTAGCCGTTTTTATTCAACGGCTCTTCTATAGAGACCCCAAACTCCTCCTTAGCTAACTGACCTGTACATTTGTTGGTACGGCGAGTGAGTGCCTGGCCATGGGTGCGATCATCTGGTGTCTGTTCTTGGATACTCCAGGGGTCCCATAGCCCGGCTGCATGCTGTAGTGTCCCGAGAGAGGCAGGGAGGTCGGGTGGTGTGCCTGAGAGAAGCCTGCCACGAGTGAGGCATGTTGACCCTGGAGCATCTGGTTGCCACTCATTCGATGTCTGGATGTCTCGTGACGGTACCATCTACAAATTAACATTGGATGCTCCTGCCATTCATTGAGCTATCTTTTAACTATCACAAAAACTCAGAACAAATCTTGCTATTTTATAATTTTGATGTCTATGAGCAAAACCGTTTAGAGAGACTTTTCAATCTAAACAATGCTTTACGCGCAATTATGCATAGATTGCCATGAATATTTGAGCCTAAACTGCTTTGAAAATATTCCAGATTATCATTGTCATAATATATTCACATCCATTTCATCGTATCTCAGCAAGATTTTTATTTCAGCACGATGTGCAACATAAGATTCGGTAGCACACTCGAGAAGGGTACGTCCTTTAAGACCTGGTTGCTGCTGTTGCGAAACTTGCTACAAACTTGAAGCAATGTGAACAATGGCTTACGACAACATATCAAGAGCGGCAGCATATCAAGACAACAGTGGAAGGAGGCTTACCTAATGAGGAGGTCGCAGTTAGCCTCTGCCACTAATCTGTCTCCGAACTGGTGCAGGAAGTTCAGGAACTGGGGGACTGAGATGTGTTGCCCCCTGTGCTTGAACGTCTTGGCCAGCAGCTGGGCACAAGTCACTGACTTGGCCTTGATCTTGAGGTCGAATGTGTCTATGAAAGCCCTGCCGAGATTGAGGGAAACCAACTGACTCAGCTTCTCCATCTCCGTCGTCATCTCCTTCACTATGTCCGCAGACAGGTCACTCAGTCTCAGATCTGAAGTAATACACTTATTTATCAACTAACAGAACACCGGAATAGACTTTGCCTTTATGTTCAAGCGGCTAATTGAGTGAATGAGTACCATTATTTAACTCTATCTTGATTTGAGTAATGAATATAGCTTCTGTTTTTTCTGTACGCTAATTGAATTGCATGTAAGGAAATGTTGACTTCAATTGCCACAATTCAGTTCACTTTTCTAAAAACAGATTTTAACAACTTTTCATGCCACTTATTTCCAAATCAAGGGGGAAAATTAAAACAAATTCTGGACAATTGTTCGTTCGTAATTAAAAAAAAATTCGAACTAAACTCTTAATGATATGATTGAATAATTTGATGTGGATAGCTCACTTTCATAAATTTGACTGATCAGTTCTATCTTCAAAGCCAGCACCTCCTCGGGTTCCTGAAACAAGCACACTCAATGTTTAAAATCTCTAACTGGAAAGCAAATTAGTTTCTTCCAGCATGAACACTTTTTCAAGTCTCCGGTTTTCATGGCACTATTCCGGATCATACAAGTCCCTAAATCAGGCAAACCTTTTTTTTGAAAAAAAAGGCTCTTTTCCAGTCCCCCCTTTAAATTCAATTTTGAAAAGTCTATTTAACATTGTCACAATGCAATGAAATTTGGCGTGGTGAACAAATCGACAATTCTGAACAGATTTGTTCTTCATACTTTATAGCGTAACATCACGCATTTAGCCGTAATAACACGTAAAACAAATATAAAACTCGGTGTTTTGAAAGGGGGGACTGGAAAAGAGCCGAAAAAAATCTGGTCAAAACAGCAAAAAAAGTAATTTCATGGGGGATGTCGTAAATTGGCTTTCCTTGTTTAGGAGTGAAATTTACAGAAAACTTAAAATTCTTTTTGCAGCTATGAATAGCGAAACTATGTATCCGTAGGCTACCTCCAAATCCAGCAACAATTAAAATACTTCAAGCTCTTGGAAGATTAAACAAACTGTTGACGTTTGAGTAATTTTCTATACACAGATGTGTTAGGTGAATATTTTAGTATTCACAACAGCTTTCTCGGTTATTGACCTTGGTCTGAAGCAGATCTAGGATGGCCTCTTTGCCCGAGTTGGTTCCGAAGATGGTTTCGGAGGCACTCCTCAGTCGGACTGGGGAGACGTGGCGCAGTTTATACACACACTCCTGAGCCCTCTCTATCCTCTCCTGTTCCCTCCGCTTCTCAGACCCCTGTCTGCTAAGTCTAAACAACATATGCACAGCTCACAAACGTCCACCAATTTCAGTTACTAGTGGACCAGATAAAGCTGGAGGTACCTGTTCGATTAAAAATAGATTCTTCTAGTGCGAAAGATAACGCGTAACTTTCAAAAAGTCAAAAAACTGGACTTTTCCACGTTTAAGCAGAAGCCGCTAACAAAGATGAGGCCCACAACTTTTTCTTTTCACTGAACCCTTATTTTCAACCGAGTCCAAAACATAGCCAACCGAAGGTTGGAAAAGTGTAAGCATAGCCAAATGAGAGTTAGAAAAGAGTAATGAATGCACGTAAACAGGAAAAAAACAGTCTTTGTAAAAAAAAATCTCAACTTTCGAAGAAAAATAGATAACCTTTTAAAGTCTTTGAATATCTGGAACGATTTATGGCTGGCGCTTTTTTGATAACATAAACCCAACTTGAGAATACTGGATCAATAGTTAAAGTTTTTATTTCGCTGGAAACCTAAAAATTTAATTCCATTTTTTTCGGGCCATTTCCACGTTCATATTGTGAGTGCTGTTTAGGTAAGTTTCAGCAAAAAAATTTCAATTGAATTCGAAAAGTGCATATATACCTAAAAGCATTCATAAATGCATTAATATGTATGAATGCACATCTGCAGTTATTAGAGCATTTTAAAACTTTTTCCTCAAAAAAAACTTTAAAAAATTACCAAGAACTATATAAGAGTCTCACTACGCTCATTACTCTTGAAAATAATAAGGAAGCCGAAAAAAATTGAAAATTTTTTCAAATTTCATAGAAAAAAAATATCAGGTTAAAACTCATTGAATTTCAAGAACTGTAAATTATTGGCACTTTTTTCTTTATAAACACGATTTCAGAAAACTTGATCAAATGATAACTTTTATTGGCGACCGCTCGACTAGCATAATTTTGATCACTTTATTTCTCAGAAACACCAAACAAGAAAATTCCGTTCAATTAAAACTTGAATTTCTGAGAAATCTAACTTGTAACGAGTCCATCCCCCCTATGAAAAAGTTGAACAGAGACCATGCAAGTTTTGCACCACAAAAATTTGAAAACAAATAACATCCTCCCCCCTCCCAAATCTGTTTAAAGCTAGGTATGATGTTAACTTTATAGTTATAAGGATGTTAACTTGTCCAAATTTTGTATCGCATAAATTGTGATCAGTCACACTTTAAGCACCCGCAGTAAAAGATTTAGAGGGGAGCGGATGCCTCTTCATACGAGCACACATCCATGGGATTTGACCCCATAGCCGCACAAATGGTCCCCCTAAGGTACTATTTTGCGACCCTCCTTTTTTGTTGATCGAACCTATAACTGGTAAACATGTTTTTTCTTCAAAAATGCATTGTCAAAAAATACATGCATAGGCGGATATAGTTAACAACGTCCAGAATATTGAAAAACACTTTCGAAGCTAGAAATCAATCATATTTTTTCGCGCCATTTCCGATTTCGTTATTGAAGCGCGCAATTTGCCTACCTTTAAGAAAATGAATTTGAATTGAACTCAAAAAGTGCATGTATACCTAATTGCTTTCTTAAATGCATGAATATATATGATGCACTTCTGTAGTAATTAGATCAATTTAAGACTTTCCTGAAAACAAAAATCATCAAGACCTATTAATTGAAAACCACTGCATTCTTTTACACTTCAAAAATGGATCACAAATTGCTGAATTAAAACTTCTCAAGGTCAAATTGAAAATGATTATTGGAATTAGCAGGCACACAGAGGTGGAGAGCTAACTTTTCCATTATTTCATTTTGATGATGTTTGGCAGGGTAGTTTGATGCCAGTCAAAAATTGACAGGAGTTAAAAAATTTCAAAATTTCTCAAACAAGCAAACAATAAACAAAAAATCTATTCCCATACATTTTCATCAAGCTTGCTTCTATCAACCAGAAATTGCTGAAAAAAATGATCCTCATAGTCGCCACTCATGCTAAGGTATCACCAAAATGGCTGAAACATGTCATCACAAACGATGCCTTAAGAGTTTCCTAGAGGTATTACAAATCGTGTCAAAACCCACACTAGCCTTAGTTTTTTTATTTTTTGAGAAAGGTCGGAAGAAGAATTTCAAGCTTCAAATGTTTGTTTACACTATTTAAATTTTTAAAACATAGCCGACAGGCTGTTGTGGAAAATATCAAGGAACGCGGGCAAACAAAAAAATACTGACGATTTTGAAAAATTCTGACTTCAATTTTTGAATTTCACAGTCTTTCCATAAATCTCTTCAAACGTAAGATTGACACTTTTCACGATAAAATTAACTAGTTTTATAATTAAAAATGTAGAACAATTTTTGATTGACACTTTTTTGATTAAGTTAATCCAATTTGAGAAAACTGGATCAATACGAAATTTTTCTATTCAGCTGGGAAATCTGAAAATTTAAAATCCAAATACGAACAAGACTGCTCGTATCAAGGCGAAACCCTGAACGTTCCGACTGCCTTTTAAGATCATAAAGTAATAACATGAAATTTAAAATATAAATAAAATTAAAAAGTTTAAAAGAAAACAAATTTTTTTGTGAAAACATCCCCCCCATACGTCATATTAAGTACGAAGTGATAGATGTTGCTGTTATTAACAAACCAATTATGGCATATAAGCTTGCTTGAACCAATTTGGATCAATTTCTAAGACGGATTAAAGCTCGCTTAGGCGTTAATAGCGCGAAATTTATCGCGCGTTAATTGTCCAAAATCTTTAAACCCCCATAACTTTACAAAAAACGATCACAAGTAAAATATTTTCTCAAATTTCAGCTCAAGACAACGATAGCTTTTCAATGATATTTTAAAAACTCCGTCAAAAATGGCTAGTTAATAAGTCGAAATTTGTCTGAAGAAAATAACCCACCCCGAGCACAAATATTCCGTTACTTTCGTTACGAAAGTCGGAACAATGAAGAAGTCGATCGCGTTTTTCGGGACCTTTTCACTTTTAAGGTCCGATAATGGAGTTTGCCTTCCTTTTCTAAATGAATTGAAATTAAAAATAAATCAAAATTCAAACAGCTAAAAATCAAATTTGAGCGTGAACAAATTTTATGATTTTTTTTCTTGAGAAAAAAAAAATCACGGCCTGTTTAAGTGTCTTCACGACGTTCATTGACATTCCTTTAAATTCAGTTCAGAAAACACAATCTTAAGAGCATTCGTTGCATCCATTCGACCATTTCACTGAAAACGACTTTGACCCAAATGAAACTACCGAAAAAGCTGACACCACAAACAGACAGACAGGCGAGTCCATGCACATCACTGGTTCGCTCCGTTGGTTAATCCCCGTGGATCAAACTACTTAAACTGCACTCTCTTATAAGGAAAACAATGATGTATATTTTGACTTGGATAGTAAGCTCAGCCCTGTCAAACGCTGAATGTGCATTGGACTTAAACGAGCGCAGCTGTTGTTTTAATCCCTCCAAAACCAGATAATTTCACGGTAATATTCAGTTTACGGTACGAATAGCAATCTATCAATAGTTCAACTTAGATGCTTTCGACATTTTTGCTCTGACAAGGGTAGAGCAAAAATTGCTACTTTATTTTTAATTCCGAAAGCCAACGTAGCAGGATCTACGTCACTTAAATGGATTCGCGTAAAATCACTTTTTCTTTTAATTTTACCCTCCGCGCATGTTCTAGGCAAAAATGATACCTTGCATGAAATTCTGAATGAAAGCGCTTTAATTTACGATGAGCGCATTCGAACATATAGCCATTACGTTAAATTACATAACGAGCAAAACAAAAGCACTTAAAATTATCTCAGACCGATCGAAGCAATTAATCAATTTTAGCTTGGTAAGAAAATCACAAACTAGAGTTCCATTCATAAATGAAGTTATTTATAAGAACTGTTATTGATGGCTCGCGTAAGTGGCATCAATCGTCCGCGCGTTTGCATGATCCGCTCTACCATTTATGGCCAGATCAAACAAACAACCAAGAAAGAAAATCTCGTTTGAACACGATACAATAAAATAAATGTACTGAATAATTAAACAGTTGGATAAAAAAAGACATCTTCTCCAGGTTTTTTTTTATTCTACCCCCCTAAAAGGCAAATTTGAATTTCGAGTAGAACAAACATATCTGCTTAGTTCAAACAAATCTACTGGCATATTAAGGTCACGCATTAGCTGACTGTCGGGGCAACGTCAAATGAAAGGGCGTGACAACCTATTGCCTACACAATATTGTCTACAAATCTAAATATCATCAACAGATAATGATTTGTGGCTGTAATTGTGGTTTCTGCGATTCGCAGAGGATCTATGAAAGGCTATCCAGCCTGTCTATGCATAGTCCGTTTCGCTGTATCACTAAACCAACGCAACGTTAGGGAAGCAACTTTCAATAGACAACGAAGATACCCAGCCAGTAGCTGTGCAAGTAGTACAAAATATTTCGACCGCAACGATTGAAGTGAAGAAAATCAAAAAACCAGAAAAAAAACAAAGGAATATATCAGAGAAAAATCCACTTTTTTCATTACTTTTTTAGCAAAAATTTCTGTCGTTTTCTTTTACAGTAATCAGTAAAAGGCGATTGAAACCAAAAAAAAACATTGTCTTTTTCAAAAACGTACAATTTTCGAGTCTGAAAGAAAAAAAAATGTTTCTAGTTTCAACTCATTTTAAAGCTCTGTGAATTTTTTAAATCTGGATCCATGGGTAATTTTTTATTCCAACGTGAAAACTTAAAATTGAAATCCACAATCGGAAATAAAAGTCAATCTTTTCGCGCCTTTTTATGACCATTACACTTTCACTGATCGATATTTGGGTTTGCCTTCCTTTAAAAAATCAAAACTAAACCGAAAAAAGTAAGTTGTTAAGACTCTTTCTGAAAAAAAAACTAAAAAAAATCACGACCTTTATAAGAATCTGAACTACGTTCACCGACTCCATAGTTCGTTCTGACTTCGTGAAGTCGTCGAACAAAAAACATTATCCTGAGAATGTTTCTTTCTGATTAAATTACCTTGCGTTTCCTGTAGCGGGCAAATAGGCTTGCTCTAGGTCTGGTTGAATGGTGCCCGCAACTGTTCTAGGTCCAGTGTCGCGACTAGCTGCGAATTCTGCCCCGTCCATAGATGTCTCCATAGACTGGGGATTCTTCAAAGTTGAGTTGCTCTGGGGTGCGTACTCATGCGCGCCCGGGATGAAGTCTTCAATTGGATTCAGTTGGGATATCTTCTGATTCTGGAGAGACTTGAGAGTACTAGGCTGCGATGTGTTGCTCTTATTTGAGGCAGTTTTCCTGGAGCAGCCATGGATGGACCCGTAGATATCGCAATTGGGGGACAGTTTTTCGCTACCAATTGGGTATTGGTTGAAGTCACTGAGTTCCAGAGACTTTCCGTTTTTGAACACAAAGGCTAAAGTAAAATCATAGCTTTCGTCCTATTTTCCTCCAATCAATCGATCAAGAATTGATTTTCTTTTTGAAATTGCAGCTTCTGGAAAAAAGTTTTTGATGAATAGATGGAAAACACTTACAGTTATCTTTGATACAGTAGTCTGTATTTGAGGAGTCTTCAGTTCGTTTGAAGGGCTTCCATCTCAGGCTCAGACAACCTGAAATTACAACACATGAACATAGTCAAGGACAGACAGTTAAAAAGTGTGAATGATCTCAAGGAAACAGAAAAAAAAGATTACTTTTTTTGAACATTTTTCAAATTTCGAATAAAATTATATGTTCGAATAAAATTATCACAGCTCTAAGAATTTCAAGAATGTTTTATGATTGGCGCTTTTTTCATAGAATTAATCTCGAGAAATCTGGGTCCATATGCCAATTTTTAAGGGTTTTTCTCTTTATAGCCCCTCCCTCAGCTTAGTAACAAAGTAATTACCAAACAGCGATTTTTGTAATTTGGGGGTCTATAATTCACTAAGGGGAGAGTATAATGGGCAAGGTCCCTTTTTTATTCCACAGGGAAAATTAAAATCCACTTTTAAAACAAAGTCATTTACGTTTTTTTTTCGCACCATTTGAACATTTGTATTTGGAGAGCATAATTGGCCTGCGTTTTAGCAAATTGAACGAGGAAAATCAAAATTAACAAATTTTTTAATTAGCCCCTGGCCCTACCCACTCAGGACCATCCTGGGGGAGGATGATGTCATCCGTTTTGCCGCAGTCGATGAGACGGATAACGCTGGTCACCCTGCGACCGAGATCGAATTGCGATTCGAACACACGACCCTCGTCTTAAGAGCCGCGCGCATTAACCAATCAACCACCGCCGCTCTACTTCGGTCATTGACACTAATTACCCAAGTCAACCTTAAAGCCCGTAGAAACCACTAACATCCTTTGGATCTTCTTTGAAAAGCAGAATAGCCGGTTGCTGAGTCAGTGGCACAGAATTTCCCGATCACTATGACTAGCATGACTAGAGTACAGAAAATCAAAGGGATTTTTTAGATCGAACATATTTCTTTTTTGAAAAAAAGGTTCAATTTTTGAAGTTTTTTTAAGTAAGGGTAGGTAACTACTGTTGGTTAAAGCTGTAGAACGAAAGTTTTTTAGAACGAAAGGTAGAATTAAACGGAGTGTCATCAGATTAGCTTTCAGACCAATTTTTCTCGACACTGAGACCCATTTTTCGAATTTGCCTGCTTTTTGGAAAACAAACCACGGCTGAGAAAACTTAAGAGCTTTAACATTACACAACAATTGGCCCTTGTTAGAACGTTTCTTGAGGCAGTAAGAATCTTTGTCCAAATATGCTTTTAAAAGCTTTTAAAGCCTTTTTCGAAAATTTGCCTGCGGCTCAGGAAATAGGGCCAAAATGGTCTTTATAGTGATTTAGGAGAACTGAAAAACCGGTTCATCTACCTACAAAAAAGCCAACAAAATCAACAATTTTTTTTTGAAAATCCGCCCCATCGAGAAAACTCTAGATCCGCCCCTGCTTGCTTCATCGTGAAACTTACACAAGTTCAGTGGCGGATTTAAGGGTCCCCCTTTGTACTATTTTGAGATATCCATTTTTGGCTGACTGACCTTAAAATTTTTCCAAAGGCCCCAATCTATACTAATTTTGAGGGGAGAGTGCGCGCCGAAAAAACGCGATTTTTTGGTCAAAATTTTCCAAAAAGTGCCTAAAAACGCCTTTTTTCAAAAATTGGCGGCTGCGTAGAAAATTTGGTCTAATTAGGGTCTTTATAGTAGTTTGGGAGAGCTCAGAAAATCAATTTGTTCGCGCCTGAAAAAAGGTCGACAAAAATTTCTTTTTTTTTAAATCCTCCCCCCCTCGAGAAATTCCTAGATCCTCGCCTACTCAAGTTGTTTACTTAGTTATTCACTCAAGTTCACTTACAACAGGAGCAGTGCGGGTTCATTTCGTAGTCTGACATGGAGTTCTGGTCTGCTCTCTGACCCCCAGAGTAGCTGTGTCTCTTGCTCCGTCCGAAACAGAATGCACCCGAGGAACCCCCCACTCCCACCACGTTCGTTGTCTGCTGATGCTTTATACTACTCTGTCTTCTGCTACTACTGCTTCCCCCCTCTCCTCTGCCTGGCGACCTGTGGTGGCCTCTGTTGCGACGACACACGCAGCACAGGATGAGACCGACGAAGACGGCCGAGATCACCACTGATGACGTTACCACTCCCGCAATCAGACCCAGACTCTCTGAAACACGCAAAAGCGAAATACGAACATGAAGCAAATTATTGAAAATTTGAATTCATTTTTTCACACCATACATTTAACAAAAAACTAGACTCAGGATAGTAGGTTAAAAATTCGACAAGGTTCAATAGCATAAGCCTGAGGTTTAATAGCATATTACATTGAGTCGAAGTGAAGCTTCGCATCACTTGCAACCAGGGGCGGATCTAGGTTTTTCTTGAGGGAAGATCTAGGTTTTGTCGACCTTGTTTTTTCAGGTCAATCATATCGATTTTTCTCCGAGCGCTACCAGAACACTTCAAAGATCCTATATTGACAAAATCGCAGGCAAAATTTTCAAAATCAAAAGAAGTCAAAAATGCTGTTTTTGGGAACTTTTTGAAAAAATTTGAACAAAAAATCACGTTTTTTGGCGCGCGCTCCACTTCAAAATTCATATATATTGGCACCAAAATTGCCTTAAGAAAATTTTTAGGATTGGTTGACCGAAAATGGATGCTATAAAAAAAACAGCCAACATAGTCAATGAAGGCAAGTAAAGAGAAAATGTACAAGTACAACTTATTTTTTGAACTTCCAAATTTCCAAGAAAAAAACACATGGCTTTAAGGCTCGTTGAATTTCAATAACAATTTATGATTGAAACTTTTTTGATAAAATAAATCCAAATTTGAGAAAACTGGATCAATAGTTAAAATTTTTATTTAGCTGGGAAATTCTATAACTAAATTCCAGTTTCGAAGTCGATCACGTTTTTCGTGACTTTTCCACTTTCGCTGTTCGATAGAAGAATTTGCCTTCCTTTCAACAAAGGAAATGAAATGAAATTACAAAGAGGTCAAAACTCAAACCGCGAAAAAGTAATTTTGAGCCCGAACAAATTTCAAGACAAAAAATCATCGCGACCTATATAAGAGTCTGAACTATGTTCAGCGACTCTTCATACCAAAGGAAGTCCTTTGGTTTGTGAAGGGTTCGAACCCTTGATGGCGGGCGTCCGCCGATCCCCCCTGCCCTTAAATCCTCCCCTGCTTGCGATACAAAAATATATCTCAATGTTAGAAAAAATAAACCAAATTTAAACAATTAATTAATGAGCCTGAACAAATTTCAAGACAAAAAATCATCGCGACCTATATAAGAGTCTGAACTACGTTCAGCGACTCTTCATACCAAAGGAAGTCCTTTGGTTTGTGAAGGGTTCGAACCCTTGATGGCGGGCGTCCGCCGATCCCCCCTGCCCTTAAATCCTCCCCTGCTTGCGTTTAAAAAATATATCTCAATGTTAGAAAAAATAAACCAAATTTAAACAATTAATTAAGACCTGCAATTGAACATTTTATATTTCTGAAAAATGAGTGACAATGTCTAATTGAACACTTGGATACTTTCTCAAAAAACCACCAAAAAATTTCCAAAAAAAAAATCAAATTTGGCAATGTTTTGGTCGTTTTTGGCAGAGGTATTCAAGTTTTCTTTTTTAAATTGGTTGTAAAACGGATCAGTATTAATTCATTGCATTTTCGTTCCATCTCTCAGATACTTATTATCTTATTTTTTTATCATAAGACTGAAAATTAGTAGCTTATAGTTAATAGATCAAAAAGAGTCTTAATAAAGTGAAAATTGATGTTAAAAACGCCACCCTTTTTATGGAACTCAATAAAGTGAAAATTGATGTTAAAAACGCCACCCTTTTTATGGAACTTAAGATGTTTCCTCAATTTAACTTACCAGCAAAACAAGTTTTCATTGCGTATTTTCTCCAAATAACAGTTCTTCACAGACTACTAACAATTGCTAATAGATGCAGCAAAACACAACAAATCAATCGTCATTGCAATTATCGCAGCATTTAAAATAATACATGCCTGTAAAAATTTTTTGATTCGGCATAAATGTAAAATTTTTTCGATTCGGCATAAATGTCAAGAAAATTGGACGAGAAAATTCAATGATGGCCACAAAAACGGTAGCTTTAACTGCTATTATATTCAACAACAGTAAACAGCCAATGGAAAATATGTGTGACATTTTAAGCTCGATGTTTAATTGTGATGATATTTAAAATTTAACAAAATGCAGGTGGACTCATTATGCGCACGTTCCCCTTTGGCCAAATCAAAATCAGACTTCCAAATCAAAACGGAAACGATGAATTGAAATAAACACTAAATATAGCTTGAACATTGCTCGACGCTAGAAAAAAAAAACATTGCTGGATGGGATGAATTTGGATGGAAGTTTTACAAAAATCTGAAACTAAATTGCCAAACTAAGGTCAGCATCTTGAGCACTAAAGTAAATGGGTTTAAGTTACACCCTCCACCAAAGTTAGAATCCTCCAACCCAGTGTTCAATTTAAGGATCGGGAGGTTGTTAACTTGGTCTAAGTAAATGAGACGAAAGTATAATTCTGCTTAATTGTTTTCTTTTAATACTCGAAAAAAAAATCGATTTTATGTTAACTAAACTGTAAATTTGAAGTCATTCCTGTTTGCTAGAATATGTACTAAAATAAAAAAATATATTTAATTGATGTTCTTTAAAACTTAAGCTTGAAATTGAACAGTAAAACCAAATCAATTAAGAAACATACCAGTTTGTTCCATTGATCACAAATAATTTAACAATAGGTAAAACTGGATTGAAACAACGTAACTATCAGAATAGCAACAGCAACAGATAACGTTGCTTGTAGCAATTTCGAATGCGAGGTCTGTCGTCAATTATGTGAATCAGAGAATAAAAACTCCCAATTCAAAGATCAACAGGTAATGATTTATGACGTGTATCAGTAGACACTGATGGTATATCACTCTTTCGAAATTGAACTCTGCCCAAATAAACAATGCGCACATGCAACTCTCTCTTCCGTATTTTGGGCAAACAGTCGCAAGTCGAAAAGTCGACGAGCAAGTTGTAATCGAGATAGGGCCAATTAAACCGACTCAAACTGAGCAAACATGCCGAGGATGCTTATCTACACAGTAATAAAACAGCCAATTCGAAATAAGTATACCTTCATTCAAGGTCTACCTCACCTCACTAAGCCTTCAATTTATTCTATTGAGTGTCGGTTCAAACTACTAGGCGTGATTTCAGATGGTGGCTTGTGTTAAAAGAACTAACCTTCGCTTATCAATGAATGACAAGACCAATAAAAAAACTAATTAGGTGTTCTAAAAATAGATTCCCCTTTCGAAACGGGAAACCATTGACAACATCTGTCGAAAAGCGGAAAAATAAACAAAAACGAAAAAAAAGAACTATAAAACAATAAATAGAATAAACATGAGATGAAAACATCACGTAGCTTTCACCACTTCATCCTGGAAACCTGTCAACAAAAAAGACGTAACGGAAACGAACTTTCATCTTAGGGAAACAAAAATTGAATAAAAACTCCCCTATTTTTATTAGGATAAGAAGTAAACTATTGACGTTCTCGTTTTATCAAGTAATTTAGATTCGAATGGTGGCCATCAAAAAAAATCACGCTGTCTCTCTCTGGTTTCATATTTACGGCCTAATAAGATGGTGGAACATTTTGATTTCAATTGATGCTCAAGCCAATCCAAGCGGAACTAGAAAGCTCCGATTTCAGAAACATGTTGTCATCATCGTGCTTCCACTTTTTCAAAAGATCTCCTTAGGTTATATAAAAGTGTAACAATACTTGAAAAAGAAAAGTAAGTTACTTGTCAGCGTTTTAATTGTGCAATTTTAAAAAGGAGGGAAAAACTATATATTTTTTCGTGACATTTAGTTTTCTGTTGTCATTGCGATGCTACTGAGGTTTACCATGACGTCATTGTCTGATAATTTTTTCAATATATATTTATTCATGTTTTTTTTTTACAGTTAGAATGCGGAAAAACCGTCTGATTGTTGATGGATAGAAGTGTCTCAGTTGAAAAAGAATTCAGAGGCGACAATTAGCCAAACTAGTGGGCGAACAAAGCATAGAAAAACAAACAAAGCTACAATTCTACACCTTTCAAGCCATAGCTGAACAATTTAAAATTCACTTTTGACGGGGAAAATGAAAGAATAACAAAAAGTACGAAAAATGTTCAAAGTATTATCGGCATTCCTTGACTTTCATACCTACAAAAATACATCGTTAGGGAGAGTCTAAGTCTAAAAAAAAGAAATTAACCAAGAGAACATGCGGTTTTCGTATTTACAGTTATTGGTCTGAATAGAGACTCTGATTTGTAAGCAAAGCAATACTCCTTTGTGCGGAGCACAGTTAGAAAGCCAGGTGTACTGGAAAGAGCAGTAGACCGAATCTAATTAAATCCAATCAGCGATTGTAAATATCAGCCATACTTAAAACGGATACCAAGTCTCGGTTTATTTGGAAGAACCAGATTAGATGCTGATTTTGATTCAAATAAAAAAAATGAAAAAATTATGAAAAAGAAAGTATGAAAACACGAATTTTTTACAATATTTAAAAAAAATTAAGTCACGAAGGACTACCGCCAAAGTTGAATGAAGGCATTTACGATGAACAAGAAATGATACACATTCTATTTAGGCACCAATAGAAATGTATGAATGACCCAAATATCAACTTCTAGTCTAATCCAATTGCTTCAAAGAACCAAGAACTTTTTGCAACTTTCCTCCAAGTACCGACCACCACTTGCAAGAACGATCGATGCCTAAGATGCCAGCCACTCAAAGATAACATGGCAAAGGAAAAACCAGGATCCGCAACTGTCAGACAAACAAAAAGAACACAGAAACAACGAAACGTTCGAGAAATTGATGCCTCAAAAAATCGTCACGACCTATACAAAAGCCTTCACTACTTTCATCGACTCTTTAAAATAAATAAGACTGCTCGCATCAGGGCGAAACCCTAAATGTTCCGACTGCCTTTTAAGGTCTATGAAGCAGTAATAACATCAAAAAATAAACGTAATACAATAAAACGTTTTATAATTGAGATTTTTTGTGAAAATTAATCTCCACACGCAATATTAAGT